AAACGTCAACTTTCCTGCTCCTCTGATGCTGCCTGGCCTGCTGTGTTCCTCCAGCTCCACACTGTGTTATATCTGACTCCAGCAACTGCAGTTCTTACTACCTTTGAGTGAGTCACAACACTTCTCAATGTTTTGTTAACATGTTTGGCTTTTGAGAATACCCCAGCTGTGAGTTTGAAATTGTTAGTTGAATAATGACAACAATTTTCTTTTGCTTTCAGGTTGGACCTTGTTCCTATAAATAGATCAGTCGGCTTAAAGGCCAAACCTACCAAACCAGTGACAGAAGTGCTGCGGCCGGTGGTGGCTAAATACGGCTTAAATCTTAGTGATCTAGTGGCTAGAATTGTGAGTAAATGAAAATAAAATACAAAGAAAATACTTCAATTTCTAAGCAAATCTCATTGCCTCAATCATAAATGGTCAGAGTTTTGTTTGGAGTGAGTTTCTTTAAAGTGGCATGACTATTATCCAGGTTGTCAGCATCTACTTTGTGAACACTGCAGTTGCATAGTCAGAAGTGAATCAATGAGGATGATTAGCCATACCATCTGGAAGAGGTTTCTGATCTTTTATAAGTAGTGTCATGGGGCCTTTAACATCAGTTTGGTCACCTGGAGCCGAAAATGACGAGGGCAGCACCTCTGACTTTCTCACTTTGTATACTAGTGACAAATTGGATTATGAATAGGACTCAAACCCATTACTTTCTGCCTCAACTTGAATCAAACTGACTTTGAGTTTTGAGGGAATTCTGAAAAAGTTCATTTCTGTTTTGTAGGATGGCCGCCTTGTCATTGAGCTATTGCAGCACACGTGGGGACCAGTCAGCCTCTTGATTCCATGCTGACTCTCCACAGAACAATCCAGCCAGTTCCATTTCAAAAGGGCATGGGAAATAAGAACAGGAATCGACCAATCAGCCCTTCGAATCTGCGCTGCCATTCACTATAATCATGATTGATCAGATGGTGTCCTCAACTCCACTTTCCTCCTTGCATTCCATGACCATTGACATCTTTGTAGATCAAAAATCTGTCTAACTTAACTATTCAATGACCCAATCTCCACTGCTGAATACCTTTATCTATGAAGCCATTATCTGATTCATAACAATTCTCTGAATGTTATGTATCATCCTGAAAAATCTATATAGATGAACCCACAAGCCCCTCTCCCCCCCTTACATTTTCTAGATGTCTCATTCTCTTAAAATTTTGAAGAATGAGAGGTGATTTTATTAAATCCTACAAAGTACTTGAAGGGATAGACAGGGTAGATGCAGATAAGGTATTGGGGAAATCTAAAACCAAGGGGCACAGGTTAAAAATAAGGCAGATGCCACTGGTTCGGAGATGAAGAAAGATTACTTTACTCAGATGGTTCCAAACTTTTGCATACCATACCATAGAGGACTGTGGAAGCTCAGTCTTTGAATGTATTTAAGGTAAAGTTTGATAGGTTTCTGATTACCAGTGGCATACAGGGTTATGACAGTAAAAGACATTGAAATGTTTGATCAGCATCATCATATTGAATGCTGGGGCAGGCTTGACAGGTTGATTGGCCGATTTCTGTTCCTGTGTTTCTCAGCCAGCTGTGTAGGCCTGGCAGTGATGTGTCACCAGAATGTGCTCCCAACTGTAATCAAGTAAAGTGCCCACTGAGTTACAGTATTTGAGCTGGTGGAGGGTGCAGGAGGTGATCATACTGGTGCATCCTCTGAGGAATTTGTGGAGGAGACATAATTCCAGAGAGGGCTGCTCTATTCTGTGCAGCTGCCAGCGGTGCCTGCAGGAGCCAAGAGAGAGAACAAATTGACAAATAGGGTTAGATGTTTGGCCATACTTAGAATACATTTACAATAACTGTAATGGGAGATCAGGACAGCACATGGAGTTTAGAAGGATGAGATGGGATCTAATTGAAACTTAGAGAATACTGAGAGGCCTGGATCAAATGGACATGGAGAAGATGTTCCCACTGAGAGAGACTAGGACCGGAGGACACAGCCTTAGAGTGAAGGGATGACCCTTTTAAGTTGAGATGAGGAGGAATTTCTTTAGCTAATGAGTGATGAATCTGTAGGATTCATTGCTGCAGAAAGCTGTGGAGGCCAAGTCATTGAGTGTATTTAAGCCAGAGAAAGATAGGTTCTTGATTAGTAAGGGGATCGAGGGTTGCGGGGAGAAGGCAGGAGAATGGGGCTGAGAAACATATCAGCTATCATCAAATGGCAGAACGGACTTGATGGGCTGAATGGCCTAATTCCGCTTCTATATCTTATGGACGCTATAGATTTATTCTTCTGGGTTATTTGAGTTCATAGAGCAAAACACCCCATGAAACTCCCTGAAATCGATGCCTAGCCGATGATCTTTGGTAAAATTCAGCCCTTTGTGTCGTCATTAAGCTTGGATATATTGATCTTGGGCTTAATTTTGGGTGGTTGATAGGGTCTCACCTACTCTGTTAGTTTTATAGGGGAGTCCTGATGGTGTTAAATCTCACAGCTAGGCCTCATCAGTGATTCAGTGCACCAATGGTAATAGCACCTGCCAGAGGCCCATGAATGTCTTGGGATCCCAGACCAAAGGTGAGCACGGTAGAATGGGCTCGATGCAAAGAAAGAGGTATAGCTTTCAGCAGCCCCAGCTTCCAATTCTGGGCCCCCAAACAAGAGTTCCCTACCTCTCCTCAGCAGAGCACAGCCACTCTTATCTAGGATACCTTTCCATCTGATTGTTCCAGTCTCTTTTTTTCAAAAGTTCATTCATGGGATGTGGGCATCACTTGACTAAGCCAGCATTATTGCCTATCTCTAGTTGCCAGGGTCTGTAAATGTAAATCCCCCATAATAATCAACCTACTAATCTGATTTCTTTTCATTTCTCAATTTATACCATCCACTGCTATATCCTGGTTTCCTGAACCTAGGTCATCCTTATTTATTGTGCTAATGCTATAATTAGTTAACAGAGCCACCTCTCCACCTTTTCATAGCTTCCTTTCCTTCCTAACTGACGTAGACCTTTAACATTTATATTCAAATTTATTTCATTGCTGCAGCTATGTCTCTGTAATGGCTATCACATTATTCTTATTTATTTCTATTTGGGCTATCTGTTCATCTATTTGTTACAAATGTTATCCACATTCAGGCACAGAGGTTTTAGTTTTGTCCTTTTATTATTTATGTAACATTACTCATATCTGTGACTTATTCTTAGATTTGTACGCTCTCCCTTCCTGTCAGAATCTATTTATCATTCCTCTATTAAAATCTTTCTCTCTTGCCTTGTCTCTACTCTTTGATTAACCAAATCTTCCCAAGTTTGATTGTTTGCCGTCACTACTTAGTTTAAAACCTTTTCTACTTCCCTAGTTCTGTGACTTGCTTGAATATTGGGCCCAGCATACTTCAAATGTGGACCATCCCAGTGGTGCAGCCCACATTTTCCCTAGTATTGATGCCACTGCCCCATCAACTGAATGTCTTTTCTGCCACATTAGTTTTTGAGCCACGTGTTCAGTGGTGAATTTCTGTTGGACAGCTCATTTAAGTTTGCGTTGTTAATGATCTGGAACACACCAGTTGAGAAATATTTGCTACTATCTGATCCTGATTGCATTTGACTTGTTAGTCCCACTTTGAGAAGTTACCTCAAATCTGTGAGTCAAGTTCTTTATATATTTTGTTTATGTAGCTCTGCAAATATTATTCCCAGGTGAAATATAGGCAGCATATGAAAGCTCCTAAACTGGAATAATTTACACATGTTGGAGGGCAAATAACTTTCAAAGCATGTGCTTTTCAGGGGAGAGATATTAAAAAAAAACTTGGTGCAAGATTTGGAGGAAGTTATTAATAATTAATTTCTCAGATATCAGAGCTTTTAAATTTAGAGCTGCTGCAGCTGCACGGTGTACAGCGGTCATCTTAAATCTTTAAATAGATTAATGTTCTAAATTAGAAACCAGAGGTGACTGAATGGGTACAATTATTAAATGGCTATCAGAAATTCATTCCATTTTGAAATAGCTCCACAGAGGCCGGTATCCCGTCACCCAGTCACAGTTTATTTCAACGTGGAGAGTCCTTGATACTGATCCAGCTCCCTCAGCGCCAGCTCTCAGAGTGAACAGGATGTCTAACATTCCTGTTCTTATCTGTTGGTCAGGGCTCCTTAATTGGATCAGATTGACAGCCTTGATCAGGGAACTCATATTCTATGAGGTCCACCTGGCTAACCTCGTTACAATTGCTACATCCCTCCCCCTCTGAGTCTGAGGACATAGCCCGGTTTGTTTTTTTCATAGCTCCTCCTGGGGCTTTTTAGCACTGGGTCAGGTTCCTCCAATAATAAAGCCAGTTGTAGTGCCTGTTGAAGTCCAATTGGGTTTCAGCTAGTGGACGCTTTTGTATAGTTACATCATTAATCCTACTCTCGTCACCACTGATATAATTCCACAGAGGCTGCTGTGCCATTACCAAGCCACCCTTTATTTATATGGGGAGAGTCCTTGACACTAACCCAGCTCCTTCAGAGCAAACTGTCAGAGTGAACGGGATGTCTGACACTCCTGTTCTTCTCTGTCAGCCAGGGCTCCCTGATTGGGCTTTTAATCTGGTCCAGTCAGGGAACTCATATTCTATGGGGCCCACCTGGCTGACACTCATTTAAATCACTGCACATTTAACAAGAAACACTCCAGGTGGCTGCAATGCATACACAGGTCAATTATTTTTGCTTCAACTAAGCAAATCAGCAAAGCTAAGTAAAAGGAGAACTCTGTTTAAGGGAAAATGACTTGGAGCAGAAAATCACGTGGGTTTCTGGTTCAGTCTTACGTGGCAGCGTCGATTAAAACAGTGTTAATCACAAAATTGGACATTGCAATTGATCTATAGAAGGGCAAAGTTGTGAAAATTACTTCACAACAAGATTTACAGTAGCAGAGGGTACCAGTTCCAAATTCCATAGATTCCTAGAAAATCTGTATGATAGCAATGACATATGTTCTAAGTTGTACACAGAAATATGCATAAGCAGTAAACTTTGTCCTTGTTAGAAATACCCATAATCCTGAGAATGAATGTTAAAAAATGTCAGCAGATTCTGGGTAAAGGAGGCAGTATGAGGCCACAGGCTAAAGCACCTGATTAATGTCCAGGCTTAGCCCAAAAAATCACAAGAAATATTTAAATGACACAAGTGCCAAGAATTATCATCAACAGCAAAGTATGATCTCACTGCTCCCTGTTAAATTCAAAGGCATTTCCATTGCTAGGTACAAAGTGCCCTACTATCAATGTCCTGCAGGTGGGGGTCATCAGAAGCTGAATTGGATGAGCCACATGTGCTTAATGAGAGCATTTCAGAAACTGTCTGTTATGTGGCTTGGTACCTGATTCCCTAAAGCTCCTCACCACAAACAAGGTGAAAATCAGGAATATAATGGAATACTCAGCACTTGTTTGGATAGGCACAACTGTAACAGCCCAAAGAAGCTTGCCCTGAGCAGCTCAAAGCAATACTGGGAGGTGAGAAGGACTGGCCTTGACATGAAAGCTGAATTTGACCAGTTATAGCATCGAGGAACTCAAGCAAAACTAGAGCCAATGAGAATCATAGGGAAAATGCTCCACTGGCATAGCACAAAGGGATGGTTGTGGCTCTTGGAGGTCTGTCATCTCAGCTCCAGGACATCTCTGTAGGAGTTCCGCTGGATAGTGCTTTAGCCCCACCATCCTCAGCTGCTTTATCAATGCCCCTGCCTCCATCATAAGTTCAGAAGTGGGGATATTTGTTGATAACTGCACAATGTTTGCAACTTTTCTGGTACTAAATCAGTCCATGTCCAAATGCAGCAAGATCAGTACAATATGCAGGGTTGGGCTGACAAGTGTCGAGTAACATTTGCACCACAAAAGTGCCAGGCAAGAACCATCTCGAACAAGAGAGAATCTAGCCACCTGTGTCTTTCAGAGTGGAACAGAATGTTTTCCTGTATGGGCTGCTATCACCCATCCTTCACTTCTTCACCGGAAGTGCTGAGGAAGGTTCACCGGACCGGAAATGTTAACTCTGCCTTTCCTTCACAGATGCTGCCAGACCTGCTGAGCTTTTCCAGCAACTTTGTTTTTGTTCCTGATTTACAGCATCTGCAGTTCTTTCGGTTTTTCGTCACTTCTTCACCTTCATCTGCCTTGGATACACCTTAGCATTCCTTTCTTTTGCCAAGCACCAGTTGTCCTAGTGGTAGGCTCTCTACATGGGAGTCCTCTCACTTTCAATTAAGGATCAGTGGTAGAGGATGTTGCATGCAGCAGTACCGTACAATCACAGGTTAAGGATTCCCGAGCCTCCCAGGCCAACTGTCTGTTCTGTAGTGCTGTGCAGTACATCTACTAAGCATATATTGGCTGTGGAAGGCCCCAACTCTATTTTAGTTACTTCCCCACTGTCCTGATCTTTGTGCACGTGGTACAGAGGTGGGAGGGCATGTCAGTGCACTTCCACGTGGGCCTGTTATGGAGGGAGCCAGGATTTTGACTGCTGCCTCTCTTTTATAGTTACATCCGCAGCAGGATGTCCTTGAAAAAGGAGGACATGGGGTCCCCAAACACCCTTGAAGCTGTTTGGGATAAGTGGCATCACAGGGGATGGAGTGCATTATCTCCCCTCCAAATGATACTTTGGGTTAATTTCCCCTCCGGTTTTCCCCTTTTCCTTTTTGGTGAACATTACGGTGCTCCTAGTGGGTGGTTTGAATCTGTAAATTTGATTAAAAGAATAAAAGAGCAGGGTTGTTCATCAGTGGGAGTTGGCTCCTGGACCGGAAAAGGTGGAAACTCATGTTTGTGCTAAACTAGAGATTTATAACAAAAGCCTTGTAAATTTTACTGCCTAATACAACATCTTGATATTGGTCTGTTAAACAAAGGAATGTTGGGCTGAAATAGAGAAGTGGATGTAAAATTGTGTATGAGTGCATGAGCCTAGAGGGCAAGAAGACACAATCAGGCCAAGTTCGTTCGTCATTCATATGTTGTCTATATTCCTGGATAATTTTGTTCCCCTCTTTTGTTTATAGCTTATACTGAGAGACATATTTTTTATTGTTTATATTTCATAGAATGGGGAATCAGAAGCTTTAGATCTTGGAGTTCCTATCTCTAATCTGGATGGACAGCGTGTTGTTCTGGATATTGCAGAGCATGTTCCTGAAAAAGGTAAGCATGATGTATGAGATAACAAGGTGTGGAGCTGGATGAACACAGCAGGCGAAGCAGCATCAGAGGAGCAGGAAAGCTGACGTTTCGGGTCTGGACCCTTTTTCAGAAATGGGGGAGGGGAAGGGGATTCTGAAATAAATAGAGAGTGGGGGGAGGCGGATGGAAGATGGATAAAGGAGTAGATATGTGGAGAGGAGACAGACATTTGATTGATTGATTGATTTTACTGTCACATGTACCGAAATACAGTGAAAAGCTGTGTTTATGAGCAGTACGGGCAGATCACAGCTAGCAAAGGATGTACAGATCAAAAAGACTTCAAGGCATACAGGCTACATTGCAGATTTTATTATTTGAGGCTGGAGTCCATTCAACAGACTGATAATGGCTGGGAAGAAGCTGTTCCTGAACCTGCTTGTGCTTGTGTTCAGTCTTCTGTATCTTCTGCCTGACGGAAGAGATGTAGGAGATCATTACCAGGGTGCAATGGTCTTTGATGATGTTGGCCGCCTTTCCGTGGCAGCGAGCTGTGTAAATAGAGTCCATGGATGGAACATTGGCTTCTGTAATGGTCTGGACTGTGGATACCACCTTCTGTAGTTTCTTACAGTGCTGGGCAGAGCAGTTGCCATACCAGGCTGTTATGCACCCACACAGTATGCTTTCAATGGTGCATCTGTAGAAGTTGGTGAGGGACCTTATGGACATGCCAAATTTCCTGAGCCACCTGAGGAAGAAGAGGCGTTGTTGTGCCTTCTTGACTGTCGCATTTGCATGGGAAGTCCAGGACAGGTCGTTGATTATTGTCATTTCGAACTTGATGCTGCTCACTCTCTCAACCTCAGTTTCGTTGATGTAGATGGAGGTGTGTTCTCCTCCTTTATTTCTGGAGTTGATGATCAACTCTTTAGTTTTGCCAACATTGAGAGACAGATTATTTTCACCGCACTACATCACCATGCCCTCTGTCTCCCTTTTGTATTTTGACTCATTGTTGTTAGATGTCCGTCCCACTGCGGTGGTGTCATCAGTGAACTTGTAGATGGCGCTCGTTCGGAATTTGGCAACACAGTCGTAGGTGTATAGGGAGTACAGTAGGGGGCTGAGGACACATCCTTGGGGGGGCTTCAGTGTTGAGTGTAATTGTGGAGGAGGTGCAGTTATCTGTCCTCACTGATTGCGGCCAATGGGTCAGAAAGCTGAGGATCCAGTTGCAGAGGGCGGAGCCCAGACCAAGGTCATGCAGTTTTGAGATCAGTCTGGCGGGGATAATGGTGTTGAAAGCGGAGCTGTAGTTGGTGAACAGGAGTCTGATGTCAGTGTCTTTGTTGCCCAGATGTTCCAGGGATGAGTGCAGGGCTAGGGATATGGCATACTCTGGTGCTGTTATGTCGGTAGGCAAATTGTAGGGGATCGAGGCAGGTTGGGAGACTGGAGTTGATGTGGGCCATGACCAGCCTGTTGAAGCACTTCATGATTATTGAAGTCAGGGCTATTGGGTGGTCGCTATTAAGGCATACTGCATGTGTTTTCTTGGGAATGGGGATGATGGTGGTCTTCTTGAAATAGGTGGGGATTTCGGCTTGTAGGAGGGAGAGGTTGAAGATGTCGGTGAATACCTCCGCCAGTTGTCTGCACAGGATTTGAGTGCTCGGCCAAGGACACCATCCAGGCCCCTTGCTTTCCTTGGGTTGACTCCCAGGAAGACTGATTTGACCTTTGAAGCAGTGAAAGGAGGTACAGGTGTGTCTGGGGCTGTGTAGGCAGGCAGTGCCACGCCAGTGGTATTCTACTGAAACTGAGCATAGAAAGCGTTGAGTGTGTCAGGGAGGGAGTCATTGTCTGCTATCTTACACCGTAAGACCATAGATATAGGCACAGAATTAGGCCATTCATCCTATCTGCTCCACCATTTAATCGTGGCTGATATGTTTCTCATTCCCTTGCTTTTTCCTCATTACCCTAGGTCCCCTTTCTTAATTAAGAACCTATCTATCTCTGCCTTAAATGCACTCAATGACTCATCCTTCATAGTCCTCTGCGACAATGAGTTCCAAAGATTAACTACCCTCTATCTGCAGAAATTCTGCCTCATCACACTTCTAAAGGATCGTCCCTTACTTTGAGTCTGTGCCCTTGAGTCCTAGCCTCTGCCACTAGTGGAAACATCTTCTCCACCTGCACTCTATCCAGGATTCTCAATATTCTGTAAGTTTCAATCAGATCCCTCTCATATTTCTAAACACCACTGAGTATAGACCCAGAGTTCTCAACAGCTTCATATGTGATGAGCCCTTCATTCCAGGAATCATTCTTGTAAACCTCCTCTGGACCCCCACCAATGCCAGCACATACTGTCTTAGATTCAGTGTCTAAAACTGCTCACGAGTTTCTAAATGTGGCCTGACCAGAGAGTTATGCAGCCTAAGCAGCATACTTCTGTTCTTGTTTTCTACCCGTCTTGAACCGAATGCCAACATTGCATTTACCTTCCTTAGTCTGAATTGAACCTGCATATTAACTTTAAAAGAATCTTGAACTAGGACTCCTGAGTCCCTTTGGGTATCAGATTTCCAAAGTCTTTCCACATTTAAATAATAGTCACCGCCTCCATTCTTCCTAGCAAAATGTATAACATCACAGTTTGCAACATAGTATTCCATCTGCCACTTCTTTGCCTACTTGCCTAACATGTCCAAGTCCTTCTGCAGCCTCCCCACTTCCTCAACACTACCTGTCCCTCCACCTATCTTTGAGTCATCTGCAAACATAGCAACAATGCCCTTAGTTGCTTCATCCATATCATTAATGTATATTGTGACCCCAGCATGACCTCTGCAGAACTCCACTAGACACTGGCTGCCATCTGAAAACAGACCCTTTTATTCCTACTCTCCACCTTGTACCAGTCAGCCAATACTCTGTCCATGCCAGTACCTTGCCCCTGGCTCTTCTTTGTCTCTTGTTACCTTGTCAAAGAATTCTAACTGATTTGTCAGGCATGTCCTCCCCTGGGTCATGATGAAGCCATGCTGACTCAGCCCTATTTTACCATGCACCTCCAAGAACTCTGCAACCTCAACCTTAATAATGGACTCTAAAATCTTACAACAAACAAGATCAGGTTAACTGGTCTATAATTTGTTTTGTTCTGTATCTTTCTCTTCTTAAACAGAGGTGTTACAGTAACCACTTTCCAGCCCTCTAGAAGCCAGTACCTGACTCTAATGATTCCTGAAAGATCAACATCAATGCCTCCATAATCAGCTCAGCTATCTCCTTCAAAATCCGGGGTATAGCCAATCTGGTCCAGGTGATGTATCCATGTTCAACCTTTTCAGTTGCCCCATCACCTTCTCCTTGTTGATGACCGCTATACTGACCATTGCCCCCTAACTCTCTTGAAGCTCAGGTATGCTGTGGTGTCTTCCACTTTGAAAACCCTAGCAAAGTACCTATTCAGTTCCTCTGCCATTTCTTTGTTCCCAATTACTACTTCTCCAGCCTCATTTTCCAGTGGTCCAATGTCCACTCTTGACTCTCTCTTACCTTTTAGACAAGTAAAAAAGAAATTCTTAGAATCCTCTTTTATATTACTAGCTGGCTTGTTCTCAGATTTCATCTTGTACCCTCTTATTGCAGCATTACTTATCCTCTGCTGGTTGTTAAGGGCTTCTCAATCTCCTGGCTTCCCATTAATTTTCATCACTTTGTATGCTTTTACTTTTGCTTTTATGCTGTCCCTGACTTCCCTTGTCAGCCATGGTTGCCTCACCCTCTCCTTCATATGTTTCTTCTTCCTTGGGACGAATTTCTGTTGTGCCTCCCAAATTACAGCCCCCCCCCCCCCCAGAAACTCCTGCTATTGCTGCTGCACAGTCTTCCCTGCGAGGCTACCCTTCCAATCAACTCCGGCCAGCTCCTCCCTCACGTCTTTGCAGTTATCTTTACTCAATACCATTGCATCTGATTCAATTTTCTCCCTCTCAAACTGCAGGCTCTACCACAAGCCACTGCCAAAATATCATCTCATTGCCATTCCACAAATTCCTTTTCTTGAGATCCACTCCCAACCTGCATATTGAAATCCCCGATGATTATTGTAACAGCGCTTTTCCTACATGCCTTTTCCATCTCCTGATTTATTTTCAACCCCACTTCCTGACTACTGCTAGGAGGCTTGTACATAACTCCCATCAGGGTCTTTATTCCTTTGCGGTTCCTCACCTCTACCTATAGAGATTCTAAGCCTCCCGACTCTATATCACTGCTTGTCATCGATTTAATTTAATTTCTTACTAACTAGACAACTGCACCCCCATCTGCCCATCTGCCTGTTTTCTCGATGGGATGTATATCCTTGGATAATTAGTTCCCAGCTCTAATTGCCCTGCAGCCATGTCTCTGTGATACCTACAACCGTGTGCCTGCCAATTTCAATCTGCGCTACAAGCTCATTAATCTTGTTTCATATACTACATGCATTTAAGTACAATCCCCTCAGCCTTATCTGCTGTGCCTGAAGTTCGGTTCCTGACCCTTTCCATACTCTCTGTCCTATTACTTTTGCTGGAAACTTTAACCTCTGCTGAGCCCTCCCCTCATTTAGCTTTTTCCATGCAGCTTACACAACTCCTCACTATTTAGTTGCAAGCCCTAGCCACAGCGCTAGTTTTGTGATTTGCGAGGAATCTGGTGCCATCATTATTCAGGTAGACCCCATCCCATCGGAACCATTGATTGACAAGTGGATCTTAAAATGTCACATTACATAAACAATCCAAAACTTTGCAACACTTTTAAACACTTTTGTACCTTTAGAAAAGATTGGAAATACATTCAAGAATGAAGATTTCATTTTGTTATATGGCTATTCTTTCATCTATTGTTTATTTAACTGGGTTTAGCAGATGTCAATGTGTGATAAATATTTTGCACTTTTATTTCATTCTATTTGGAATACATATGGTATCCCTCTTGGCATCAAACATAGATATTTGCAAAATGTTTTGTCTCCTACCTGAAGGACTTAAATTTCATATTTAAATAAAACCAAGAATTTCAAGTAAACAAATAAGGAAATGAATTGAAAAAACAGGAATGAAAACTATCAATCAATCAAGTGAACAAAGGCTACTGGCAGTTGGGGTTTAACAGCATGGTGCAAAATGTTGCACAAATTTGTTCTTTCATCCAGCTCACAACAGCAGATTAATAGGGTACAACTTATAAGTAATCAAGCATGTAAAAATAATATTTCAGCCGAGCTTCCATTTGAAATATATTCAGTAAATTTTGTTCTCTGAAGCGTAAATTTTATCAGTAGCCTGAAGTTTGAGATTGTCTTTGAATATACTGCTGTGCCTTCTGAATCTGCTAACCTCAGAACTTATGATTTTTCCATGATTAGTGCTGAGTGAATTATAGATTTCTTTTCAAAAAGTCCTCTCCTTTCCTCAATTCCCCTCTTACATCCCTGCATAGCTCCTCCTCAGTCTTTTATGTTTGGATATCCCATCCCTCTGTGCTGCTGGCTATAGTAACATTTCCTTCACTTCTGCTTTAGTTCATTATGGTAACCCTCTTTCTACTGCATGCTGATGTGATACAGCATCCCCACATTCAGTCCCACTCTGTTGCTCCCCAAAGCTCCTTTTTTATTCATTGGGAGGATAAGGACATCGCTGGCTGGCCAGAATTTATTGTCCATCCCTAGTTGCCCTTGAGAAGGTGATGGTGAGCTGCCTTCTTGAACCGCTGCAGTCCATGCGCTGTAGGTAAACCCACGTTGTCCCTGGCCAGGAAATTCAAGGTTTTGATCTAACAACGTGAAGGAATGGTGATATATTTCCAAGTCAGGATGGTGAGTGGCTTGGAGGGGAATTGCAGGTAGTGGTGTTCCCATGTCCTTCTGCCCTTGTCCTTCTAGATGAAAGTGGTTGTGGGTTTAGATGGTGCTGTCTCTGGATCTTTGGAACTGATAAGGCCTCCTTTCCCACACCTCCTCTTTTCATCTCCATAAAAGTTCTACTACACTGCTGTTGTTTCATGACATCCCTTCCCAGCATCCTTACTCTGCTTCTTTCTACAATATACTTCCCTCAGCATCGCCATCAGCCCTAAGAGGTACTCTCTCATGGCACCCAGTCCTCTCAATCTTGGTTTTTGGATACCCTTTGACGCGGTATTCCTCATGCTGATTATTCCGTTCTCTTAATCACACAGTTATATTCCTAATTTGTGTCTTGTGGTGCTGTAGACATCTGTTGGTTTGTTAATACATAAGAATTAGGAGCAAGCATAGGCTGCTTGACCGTTTGAGCCCGTTCTACAATTTGCAAAGATTATAGCTTGTCTGACTGTGGCCTCGACTCCACTTTCTTCTTTAGCCACACATAACCCTTCATTCCCTTATCAATCAAAACCTCATAAAATTTCAGTTCCATATTTCTTTGACCTCACTGGAAAAACCTGCCTACAAAACTGATAGGATAAAATACCAATTTAATCTATGGGCAAAGAGCTACCATCACAGATATTTATTTCTAAACCATTTGCATGTCAAGGAGTAAAAAAAACTTACATCTATGTGAAGTTAAAAAAAATTCTTTTCCAGCCTAATCAAACCTGAACAGTTTCTTTCCCCCCAAATATTACTTTTGGAGCTGTGTTTTCCCTCTGCTTCACAGGAGCAATGTAATCTCTGACACCATGAGCACTTCTGAGGTGAGTGTTACCATAGTGAATAATATTATCAATGGCAACAGTCAGACTAACTATCAAAGTAAAAACCAGTCAAAGTGTCACAGAATATTTCATCTGGTCTTTTAATTTGTGGCATTAAATTGTTTACTTACAGACAGAGAGAAGATTACAGGAGGGAAATCGGGCTCTTCCAACATTAGCACACACCATGGTGTGAAGGTAAAATTCTGTCTTTTTGGATGTTGTTGTGATATTGTTCTGCCATTAATATTTGCAGAAAATAAGGTTAGGAAGGTGGTAGCAAAATGTAGGAAAATATTTGCACTGGCGGCCACCAAATCCACTGATTATATCAACATATTTTGCTGATGTTTTCAGTACAACATGACATATCCTTCACTTATACTCGTCGGTTTTACTATTAGGATTAGTTGTCCAGTAAGTAATTCACCTGCTTCATCTCTGTTTAATTTTGACCTCTGTCACTAGATAGTGCCTTCAAATAGTCTAATACATCTGATGTTTTTAGAAACACCATAACCTATCTCTCTCACCAATTTTACAAACAACAGGAAGATGGAAGACCTGCGGAAAAAGCCTCTTCAGTCAGAGGAAATGGAAAATATTCCAAAGATGTGCGGCCTTCAAAAAATGATGTAGTGCAAACGACAAACAGAAAGAGACAGCCAAAGCTAAACATGGATGAAGTAGAAGGTAAATTCTACCATTGGTGAGCTACAATTTGAAATACTCTATGAAAAACAGCCTTAAACTTGAAAGGACAGAATTTACATCTGTAGTTGTTGGGTAGTGGTGACATCGACAGTGGTATTATTACTGGACTAGTAATGAGAGTCCCAGGCAAATGTTCCGGGGATGTGAGTTCAAATCACACGACAGGATATGTTTGAATTTCAATTCAACTAACTGAACCTGGATTTAAAAGCTAGCCTAATGGTGACCACAAAACCATTGCCAGTTGTTGTAAAAACCCATCTGGATGATTCATGTTCTTGACATCAAGGCAGCACTTGACCAATTCTGGCATGAAGGAGCTCCAGCAAATCTGGAGTCAATGGAAGTCAGGGGGCAAACTCTCCACTGGTCAGAGTCACACCCAGCGCAAAGGAAGATGGTTCTGGTTGTTATCTCAGCTGCTGTACAATGCTGCAGGAGTTCCTCAGGGTAGGCTTGTAGGTCCAATCATCTTGAGCTGCTTCATCACTGAACTTCCCTCCATTATGTGGTTCAAAATAAGTTGGGATGATGTGGTTCCTCAGTTACTGAAGCAGTCCATGCCCAACTGCAGCAAGACCTGAATGACATGCAGTCTTGGGCTAATAAGTAGCAAATAATAGGCGTGAGACAATGACTCTTTCCGACAAGAGATAATCCTATCATCACCCCATAATATTCAATTGCATTATCATTGCTGAATCTCCCACCATCACCATTGATCAGAAACTGAGCTGGACCAACTATGTAAATGCTGTGGCTACAAGATCAGGTCAGAAGCTGGAAAATCCATGATGAGCAATTCACTTCCTCTATTCTTAAAACTTGGCCACCATCTATAAAACACAATTGAGGGTAACTCTTCATTTGCCTGGGTGAGTGTAGCTCCAACTACAATAAAGAGGTTTAACACCATCGAAGATAAAGCCCTCTTGATTGGCACCCCTGAAAACACATTCATTATTCATTAACCTTCACCACCAATGCACAGTGGAGCAATGGGTATTATCTCCCAGATGTAATACAGCAACTCACCAAAGATCTTTAGACAGCTCCTTTCAAACACATGACCTCTACCACCTAGAAGGACACGATCAGAAAAACATTGGGAAACCATTTTCTGCAAGTTCTATCCAAACAACTCATCATTAGACTTGGAAGTATATTGCCATTCCTTCAGTGTTGTTGTTTCAAACTCCTGGAAATCTGTTCCTAACAGCATTGCAGGTGTACGCACGCCATTCATGGGTGTTGACTTTCTGAAATGTTTTCCCTACTTATATACTGTAATCAAATTTTTAATCTAAATAATAATTGACAACTTGAACAATAAACAGGTGATCTTCCTCTTAAATTCTGCCAGTGCTGAAGTTTGGATCTGGTGTTTTGAGATCAGCAAAGTTGACGTGGATGGAGAACCTTCCTCAGCACGGCTGCACCTGGAGGAGAAGGACAAGGATACTATATTGTCCGTCATGCTCAGTTTTGAAGCCTCATTTCATTAACAAAACTTTCCTTGTCTCTTTTGGGAACTATTCCTTCCTATTCAGAATTGTGTTGCTTTAAGTAAAATAATATTTGGTTCTGAGGCTGAAATGTAGTCTCAAAGACCTTTTAAAATTGCATAATGAAAATAAATGAAGGCACATTGATATGCATGTAGGTTGCTTCTGAATGTGACCCTTTCAAAATATCATACAGGCTTTTATTCAAAAGTAAACTTTGTCTATTTTTTAAAATTACAGCCTGTTTAAAAAGTTAATATAGTCAATATCTACCTTATTAGCTTTCATTTTCCTATTTTCTGTTGTGGCAGAGTTTTTTGACCTTCTATCAAAAGCTCAGAGTAATAGAGTGAATGACCAGCGTGGGCTTCTGAACAAAGAAGATCTTGTACTTCCAGATTTTCTACGCCTCAAGCCACCTGTACCTGAACCTGGCTCCTCCACCCCTGCAGCTGGTAAAGGAAATGGTAGGAAGAGGGAAGAAAAAAGCCAAACAGTGCAAAGGAGTGTGACGTCAACAGAACAGTTTGATAAATTAGAGTATATGGACTCCGGAGCAGCTATCTCATCCGCAGTGAATTTCAATGAGAACTCCAACAACATGAAAGTCAAGTCAACAACTCAACACGATAACAGTCATCGGCCTGTGGTAATGCCACCTAATTATGTAGAGCCAGTTACAAAGCAGACAAATGATGCACCTTTCCATGTGCCAGTATCTCCTATTCCTCATGTCAATGAACAAAGGTGGGAAAAGCGGTCTGAAGTCCAGCAGTCAGAAACTGTACCACCTTATGAGGATGAAAATGCATTTGATTTGACTCTGGTGGCAGAAGGTGACATCAATAGTCCAAACAGTACACTATTACCGCCCCCACCAACACCACCGTCCACTGTCAGTAAACTGGAGATAGCTAACTATACTCCACCAACTCCCTACACAGATGGTCAGGAGAACTCTTCACACTGCAGATCCACTTCAGGTATTTAAATGTGGCATATCTGTTTGTAAAAGGAAAAAAAATTAAAATTTTCTGTTGTGTTGAGATTGATCATGGTTGAAAGGCTAAAGAAACTGGAAGACTATCTGAAAACTTGATACATGATGCACTAGCTTTTTAAGCCTCTAGCAGGTGATAGTTCTAGCATTTTAGTGTATATATATATATGGAAAAAGTCTGGGTTGGGATACAACAACGAATCTAGTATTATTTATCAAGTTCCAGGCAGGACTGATTTTTATATAATCTGTTCTCCACTGTCTGAAGATACATTTTATCTTCCCTGCTGAAATTTCTAGGATAATAGCTGTACATATCGGTATGATATCCACACAAATTAAACTTTAATCCACTGGTGCTTGCTAATTTGTCATAAGGGACCATTCACGAATGGTATTTCAGATTCCATTTTGCAAATCATAACCTCTTCTCCTTTCCCACCTAGCAATGAGCAACAATTTCAGTTGAACATGATAACCCTGAGTAACTCACTGAAACATAGTGTAAGATATGCACTACATATTACAGTCCTACCCACTTAAATTGATGTAATTAGGACCATTCTAATTTTGTCAACATAAATGGACATTATATATATTAATGAACCCATCAACACAATTTCTTAATGCTACATTTCTGCTTTCATTATTGTTTATGTCAACTTATTTTGTTTATTAGTCATTTAAGAATATGACTAAAAGGCAATATGAGAAACGTATTGCAGATCAAATCTGATGTGTAACTTTCCTAAAAACCTAGCTGCTTCTATCACTGTTGATGGCTTTAGTTGATAACTCAATAGCTTCAATCCTGTACACATGCTGAATGCTTCTTTGTAAATCACATGATTAATATTGGCTTCGTTAGACTTTTCATCGATTTCAACCTTCTCAGCTTCTTGGCAGTTATCCTGGCCCCTCATTACTGAAGCAGTGAAATGTTCATTTTTTTGAATGCTGAAGTACACTGCTTGTTCTCATTCATATGTATAGAAATGTTTATGGATTTCTTTTTGCAAGCCAGAACATGCATGCACAGTCTGAATGGTGGCACCTTCAACTACATCATTGTGAATCCATCATCACTTAGGCCATGGAGATAAGCAGGCACGAAGCAATTTAGAATTATCCCACAATGTCAAGTTTTTCATTAAATTTGCAGTAGACCCTGTAGATTATCTGTACACTCTTTCCTGACACCAATAGCTTCAAACATTTTATTGGCTAAAATTTCCATTAGTGGTAATTCAAGCTTTCGAATAATCCCCAAATCCTTTGGATGAATTAAGGACATGGTATTTGGTGAGAGAAACCAATTTAATGCCTCATGTTGACATAAGAATTTCATTATCTAAAAACAGTATTTTCTGATTTTTTTCAACTTTCTTATTATGAGAAGCTGTAGTTTATCAACTCCTGTCACTTTGTAATGATGAGAACTGAAACATGATTGAAACACTGTGCTTATCCCACAGTCCCTTGGTGCAATAGAGTATGTATCATGTTTGGCAGAATTTCATGGATACCCAACTCATCAGTGTAAAGCAGGATCAGTCTGCACATTAAGCCTCACTGCAAATTTTCTTATACAAAATTGCATGATGGGTCTTGAAACAACTGAACTATCTATTCTTTGAGCTGCAGTTTTCCATACCAAACTGATCAGAATAGTTTGGTCCTTTTCAAAAACCTCATAACGATCAGTTGTGATGCTGGGGTTTTCACAGAATCATCTGGCTAATTCATTCTCAATATCGTTGCATTTTGCAGTTTTCTTATCCTTATCTGTGGTGCGCATGATGCTGCTTATGCTTTGCAGGCACTGTGGCAAATTTCTTTTTCTGAACAGACTTCTTATCTGGAGTTTCCATTCTGAATTGCTTTGATTCCTGGAATGGTATTCTCAAGCATTCTTAGGTTAACTTTATGATTAATTATAACATTGGTAGCTAAAGTAATGTGTGATGGGCATTCACAATTATGGTTATCAGCATAATACACAGGTAAAGAAAAGAGCCTGTTGACATAGACGAATAAGTATGTTCAATCAAATTAAACTTACCAGTGCTTGTTGACATTGACGTCACAGTCCTGGAATCACCTATCTAAGTAGACATTACCTTGCCAGCAATGCCACATCGTGTGAATGATTAGTAAAACTAACCATATCGTGGTTAAGTATTTTGTATCCATATGCAAAGAAGGAACTAGTGCCCTTGGAATATTTATGTTGATGTAAGTGTGCCATTGACATAAAGGCATTCAAGGTGGGTGGGACTGTATCTACAGAGATTTAAGGCAAATGCTGTGGATGGTGGAAACCTGAAACAAACACAGAAAGTGCTGGAGAAACTCAGTAGATCTGGCAGCATCTGTGGAGAGAAAACATTTCAAGCCCAATATGACTGTTCTTCAGAATTGTAAGGGATTGGAAAATGGTGATTTCAACTACCGTGATTAGTTGGATCCTTTAAAAACAGATGCTTACCACAACAGTAGTTGTGAAAACTACAAAAACTGGACTATTATATGAACTGCTAAAACAGTACTTGCCTTTGTTTGCTGCTCATGAATCTGTGAAAGTTATCTTGCACAAGCAAATATTTATTAACAGTTTTAAATGTACAAAAGTTGGCTGCCATATATTTAAAGATGATAAAACATTGAATTATAACCTCAATATCATAACTTAATCATGAAGTTCTCCCTCATGAGACATGACCTGAGCTTAAAAGGTTTTGTTGACAGTAACTGGTTTATTCTCTATTCATTCCAAAGATTTTTGCTGCTTTTATTTCGTTGAACAAATCTTACAAAATGTATGATTTAAAATTATTGTTAATATTGACTTGTAAATTTCCCTACATGTTGCTTTTTCAATTCTGTACACTAATTTAGATGACATTAATTGTCATAACTCTAGAGATTTGAAAACTTTTCACTTACTCTTTGACTTTTCTCTGTCCAGTAGCTGTCTATCAGAAATGTTTTCACTGATGTATCACTATCTTTCCAAGTTTATACTGAATTCTACGAAGAGATAACATCCCTTTTCCTCAATCGAATATGTTTAACACTGTTCAATATGATTTTAATTTTGATGTATTTTTCCTGTATTGTTTTGTGTAAATTACTTCCCATTTTTTCCATTGATACCGTGATGTTGTTCTGGGAGTAGAATGATTCTGAATACAAGCATTTGTAAATTTATAGTTGATAGATTAATATAAAACATTGCATTCTAAGTATGTTTCTGAGACAAGATATATCAAATGACTCCTCACCAAGAAACTGATTGAGCTCCAGAAAATTAACTTCTGCATCGGGAGTTTGAAGCTTTCTGCCACAATACTGCCACTAAATATTGTAATTGTTCCATTGCTTCAAACAGGTGGGAAAAGGTTTATCTGCACCATAAACATTGGCATGTACCTGATGGGCTGAGTGGCCTGTTCAGTGCTATGAAGTTCTCTAATTCAATGCATAGTTTATTAAAAGAGTCAGAATTGAAGACTGCACAGATTGAAAAATTGCTTGTTGGTTTTTGCTCCATCATTGTCCTTTCTTAAAACCTGATTGACACTAAAATTTGAAAATTTTAAAAAGCTATGGAGTACTTTAACAAAACAATCGCATTTTCCTAAGACATTAACCTAAGGCAGTGATTTTTGACAGGAGGGAGTAAAATTTTCCTTAAGTTGTATGTCATAGGGTCATATAGCATGGAAGCAGACTCTTTGGTCCAACTTGTACATGCCGATCATGTTCCCAAACTAAACTAGTCCCACCTGCCTACACTTGGCCCATGTCCCTCCAAACCTTTCCTATTCATGAACTTATCCAGATGTCTCTTAAACATGGTAACTGTACATGCATCCTCCACTTTCTCTGACAGGTCATTCCACACACAAACCACTCTCTGTGTAAAAAAAAAGTTGCCTCTCATGTCCTTTTAAAATCTTTCTCCTCTCACCTTAAAAATATGCCCCCTAGATTTGAACTCCCCCACGCTATGGAAAAGACCCTTATCATTCACCTTAACTATGCCCCTCATATAACCTCAATAATGTCACCCCTCAACCTCCAATGTCCCAGTGAAAAAAGAGTCCCAGTCTTTCCAGTCTATCTTTATAACTCAAGCACTCCATTCCTAGCAATATCCTAGTAAATCTTTTCTGAACCTACTCCAATTTAGTATTATCCTTCCTATAACAGGCCAACCAGAACTGCACTCCAGAATGTCCTCTCCAAAGTACTGTACAACCTCAACATGACGTCCCAACTCCTACACTTAAATGTCTGAGAAATGAAAGCAAGCATGCTAAATGCCTTCTTAACCACCCTGTCTACTTGTGACGCAAATTTCAAATAATTATGTACCTAAACCCCGAGGTCTCTCTTTTCTACGACACTACCCAGGCCATACCATTACTTCTTTAAATCCTGCTTTTTTTTCTATCATCAAAATGCAATACCTCAGATTTATCCAAATTAAACTCCATCTGCCACTCCAGCTGAGATAACATTCTTGACTGTAAAAGTTTTACAATGGTTTTTCCTTAAAGTGTATTGCAGATTTTCAAATTTGGTGAACCTGTTGTTATTAAGATAATGAAGGCAAGGATATAATTTGATTGAAAAATTAAATAATGACAGACTACTATATGTTTGTAGTTACAATAGTGATATGAAGGCATTACTAATTCTTAGTGTTCAGCTTCCTAGAACTTCACCAAATAGGATCCTGGTTTTTAAAAAAAACATTGCCACGGTATGTGAGCCTTGATGGCAAGCTCCTCATTTATTGCCCATCCCGAGTTGCTTATGATGGTAAGTCATCACATTGAGCATACAAGAACTAATATAAGTTTTCAAACTCATGAGAAGTCTGGATAGAGAAGACAGGGAAAGACTGAAAGAAAAGGACTGAAAATGCAAATTTAAAATGATTTGCAAACGAAAAACTTCTTCACACCAATGAGA